TTTGTGAGATGAGAATAATTTGGTTGTTTATTAATAAGATGCAAGTTACTTCCCTAATGAACCATTTCAATCAGTGATCTATCAGTTAATCAGTGTTAATCAGTGTGTCATTACTAAATAAGGACTTGGTGATGAGGTGGACAAACTCCTAGTGTTGCATGACTCATAAGTAAATATCATTTTTTTTCCAAAAATATTTTCATTAGCTTAAAGTCTACAATATTAAAAGTTCAAGAAAAGATTATATTTAGGCTAGCCAAATCCAGTGGCTTCAGGAGAGGAGTGTAGCATTTGTGATCAGATGTTTCTGAGATGCACATCGTCATTGGCAAATGTGCAGCTTCTCCAAGCATAAGAACCTGGAAAAAATGCTGGTATTGTTTATTTAAGGTTGAAAAAAAAAAACCAGAATAGTCACTGAGAAATTTATCTTTTGTGATGGTTCATGCTCCATTTTGTAACTAACAAAACAGTGTTACTTATGTAACATCTTAAAACTGATGACATTCTCGAATGTTGAGATAAAATCAAACAGCTCGAAAACTAGTCCTGAAACCATTCCCTTTGCTTATCAGAGCATATCTGGAACATTGGATTTGGTTTTGAGTGTCACGTTGTAAATTTTGGTTGAGTTATTCAATCTCATCCAGATTCTTTGCAATCAACTGGCCTACATCTACCAGTTTGGGAGAATTGTTATCCTCTGTAAACACTTTCAACTCCAACCCTGGCTTTTTTGCCCTGGAAAACCAAATATCAATCTTTGTCATATCAAGAAAGAATTAAGAGGCAGATTGTGCCAGATTTTAGAGATTTTGTCTCTATATCTGTTGTCCAGAGTGCTCGCCCGGCAGTTTGTAGTTACTGTTTGTTTTTTTTTAATATGTTTGTTTTGCTTTGGTTTTACTTTTTGTTTTTTGTTTTTTCAGGAATCTGAGTAGTATTCCTGAAAATTTTCTCTCTGAGTAGTATTCCAGAGTATTTTGTTTTTTCAGGAATCTGAGTAGTATTCCGGAGTATTTTCTCTCTGAGTAGTATTCAAAGGTTTTTTTCCCTAAACAAATTTATTTTATGTTAAATTATCCACATCATTATTTCTTCTTTATTGTATATTTTACCTATACATTTTTATTGAGGTATAATTGACATATATTAATTTCAGATGTGCAACATAATGATTCAATATTTGTGTATTGCAAAATGATCACCACAGTAAGGCTACACCCATGATACATGATTATTATTTTCTTGTGCTGAGAACTTTTAAGATCTACTGTCTTAGCAACATTCAAATATGCAAATAATATAGTCGCCATGCTATACATCACATCACATGACTTACCTATTTTATAACTGGAAGTTTGTACCTTTTCCCCTTCACCCATTCCATCTACCCTCTACCGTCTCTGCTTCTGGTTGTCACCAATCTATTCTCTGTATCTATGAGCTCTTTTTTGTTGTTGTTGTTTGTTTTTTTAGATTCCATATAAAAGTGAGATCATATGGTAATTATCTTTCTCTGTATGACTTATTTCACATGTCTTCGAGGTCCATCCATGTTGTTGCAAATAGCAAGATTTTCTTTATTATGGCTGAATAATATCCTATTCTATCTACACACATGCATACATGTACATCATATCTTCTTTATTCATTCATCCATTGATAGACCCTTAAGTTGTGTCCTTATCTTGGCTAGTGTAAATAATGCCTCAGTGAACACAGGGCTGTATATATCTTTCTGAGTTAGCATTTTCATTTTCTTCAAATAAATACCCAAAAGTGAAAGTGTTGGATCATATAGTAGTTCCATTTTTCATTTTTTGAGGAATCTCCATACTCTTTTCTATAGTGGCTGCATCAGTTTATATTCCCAGCTACCAGCGCAACAGGGTTCCCTTTATTCCTCACCAACACTTGCATGTCTTGTCTTTTTGATAATAACCATCTATGACATGATATCCTGTTGGGGTTTTGATTTGCATTTTCCTGATGATTAGTGATGCTGGGCATCTTTCCATGGGTGTGTTGGCCATTTATATATCTTTTCTGGAAAAATGTCTCTTCAGATCTTTTGGTCACTTTTTAAGCAGATTGTATGTTTTGTGTCTGTGTTCAGTTTTATGAGTCCTTTATATATTTTGGATATTAACCCCTTATCAGATATGTGATTTGCAAATGTTTCTCCTATTCATTAGGTTGCTTTTACATTTCATTGATGTTTTTCTTAACTCTGAAGAAGCTTTATAGTTTGATGCAGTCCCACTCTTTTAATTTGTTCATTTTTGACTGTGTTTTTGGTGTCCATTCCAAAGTTTTGACCAATATCAAGGGGCTTTCAAGTTGTGGTTTCTTCTAGTATTTTTATGATTTCAGGTCTACAACATTATTTGTTATAATGAAATAAATAGATATATATAATAAGTAGATATATTTTTAAATTCATATGAATTTTTAAGATAAAAGATCTTTCAAAGAAAAACCATGTTTGCAGCAGATCATTCCATACCCAAAGGTCATAAGTATTTGAACATTTGGGCCCTTAGTTATTAGAGGGACTTATAGACCTGAAAAAAGATTTGGAGAAGATTGGAGTAAATAAGAAGTCTTTATCCTGAATTTCAAAAAGGAAAACTTGAAAGAATGGGGAGAAAAAACAATGGCAGAAAAGAACTAATCATCTATGGCCTTTTTCTACCTTTATGTAAGATAGAACCAATTATTCATGATGAAACCTTTTATTTCTATAAGAAAACATTCAATCAATTGCCCATAAAAACAAAATATGAATTTTCAAAACAAGATATTTATAATTAAAATAAGACAGTAGAGCTTTCTAAAATGTATTCATAAAATATCAATAGACAGTCAACACTTTTTAAACATAAGAGATGCAACTATAAAACATATAGAACAAAATTACCAAGGGAAACAAGTTTCTCACAAAAATTATTAGCGACATAATGATTATCATAAATCCAATTAAATATATGTTCTCCATCATAAAAGTATCCTAGCATAGAAATGATATATGTATAAATACATATAATATTACATATATTATGTCTATGCTAGGATACATATTTATAAATATAAAATATAACACAAATATACAATATATAATACAAATCAAAATGAACTTGGGTAGGAGACTCCTGAGAAAGCAGAATAAATAAGCACATCTCATTGTTTGTACTGGCACTCTTACTGGGCAAACTTTAGAACTTCGAAGATTATTAAAACAATTCTTATCAGGAAAGTCAAATTAGCATAACACACAGACTTTTTAAGTATTGTCATAGCTCATTAAGAAAATTGTGCCTGCAGCCCCTTTCTCTAAGTATGTGTACATACACAAGGCCCAAATAATTATATTTTCAGAGATTTCCCAGGTTTAAATAACATCACTGTTTTGAATCTTTAACACTGATTGATCTTTAGCCAAAAAAACTGAAATTAAAGTACCACAAAAATTTGCTAATGTGTAGAGAATATGAACCTGCGACCTAGGACATGGTTAGATTCATTTTGTCCATCATTTTTAAGTCTGTTTAACAATAATTTTATGTACAAACAAGATTAACGGCTTCCAATGTTACTATGTTATGGTTTTGTTGTAAGAAGACTTAAAAACTCTGGATAGTGACAAATGATGCTTCAGTTTATAATTAGTTTGTACTTGATAAGTGATGTTGTAAAGTAACCATTTCCAAATTTATGAGAAATATGTAAATATTCTAAATAGCTCCTTCCTCAATGCTATAATAAAATAGCCCAATGTCTATATGCATTTTGGTTGCTCAGGTAGATTTCAGGAGAATTTCACCATCATTGCATTTAACTGTATTTCTCAGAATCCCTATCTTAGGCCTACTCTATATAAAATATAAATGAAGATGAAAATTAAGGAATGTGTTATGTTATTGATAAAAAATCTATTTGTACTAATTTAAGAACAGTGAAATATAACATGAAAACGTTTAATAGATAAATGAGAAACTAGACAATTATAATATATTAATCTTTTAATAAATTACTTTTAAATGACCATATTATTAGCAATGTGGGCAAAATATAAGAAAGTCATTCTCAAAATAAATGCAAATGCTAGGTAAGCAAATGTAATATTCAATTTCATGAGTAATCAGGAAAATAAACAAAATATGGCATTATATATTTCCAAACTGGATTGGCAAACTAAAAACAAAACATCAGTCTAGTTAGTATACGAGAAAATGAGCATTCTGAAGCAATGCTGTTAAGAATATAAATTCATTTAAATAAAAGGGTACTGTGTGTCCCACCCTGTTCAATACACATATTAATGCAAGGTTAGATGACCATGACAATGGAGAATATTACAAATTGTGTTTGTGTCCAGGGATGGTGCAGAGAAAGTGTGGTAGAGGTAGAAGACAAGACTGGAATAAAACTAGAAGCCTGAAGGATCTGTCCCTTTCCTCCTCTCCAATTCTTTTTCATCTCCACCATTCCAAAAGAACAAAAACCTCAGCAGCTGTCAGCATTCAGAGTAAATACAGTACATGTCAATTTATCCATTACATTGGAAACGAGCATTTCTCTAATGAGTTAAAATTAACCCATTTGATAAATAGGAAGCAGCTAAAGTTAGTTTGGGCAAAATAAATATACTCTTTAGGTTAAATTAGCTGACGCAAGAGAATACATAAAAAAGCTAACTTCATTTTTTCCCATTGATCGATTAAATATTATACAAAATACACACTTAGCATGTCTTAATATATTACAATAAAGTCCTAAGAGACAGATCCAGGAACCATGTAATTCAAGAAATAAAAAAGAAACTTTACATATTACACCTGGAAGCTCTCTTTATAATAGACTTGTTTCATGTTGTGCCAAAAGAGATAATTGAAATGAACATGGAAAAAATTCTGGAAACAATATAGGAAACTTATAATAAGGGGATTTACTATTTTCTGAACCAGACCACTATGCAAAACTGATAAACAAAATACCTCATTTGCTGAGAATCTGCCAGTGCTGAGGATCTAGAGAAGAAAACACAAACGTCTGTAGTTGAGTTGATAGTCATGCCTTCTCTTCACTTAGGATTTTCAAACATGCATTGTTCGTCTGGTAGCTCTGAAATTAGGAGCAGAAAATGAGCTTCTTGTTAAATTCCATTTGATAGGGTAGCCAAGCTACTGATCCCATTGCTTAACAGTAGTTTTTATTGTTTATTCTTTGTACTAGAGAAATTCAGTATCCAATATTTTATAAAGCATCCAGGAGAAAAATATTTACATCAAATGTCTTAACAGCCAGTAGAGAGTAAGATAGCAAATATCACCTCAACTCTAGTAGAGATTTTGAAAGTCATCAAAGCTTTTTGTGAATTTTTTGTAAGTTATGGTATGGATTCATGGAGCTCATTAAATAGAACTATTTTAAACTTAAATTTGCAAAATATTTAAGTCTTTTCAACCTTTTCCCAGTCAATAGCAATAAATGATGTCCAATAAAATTGAAAAATTGTTAATGCAATCAACAATGAGTAGGTTATAACTATTAAAAATACTGGCAATGATTCATGCTAGTCCCAAAAGATGGATATTGCATTTTCAGCCATTTTCTGTATAATTCTATAAATGGAGTCATACACTACCTTTTTCTTCCACTTTTTCCTTTTTTTCTTCATTTTCTATTTTAAGTAGTATCATTCGGTGAGGGCTAAAGAAAATGGCCCATCTTCTGGGTAGTTAAATTACATGTCAAACATTTCAGAGTTTAGAAAGCAGCTAATGAGAGTGTAATATTAAAATGTCAAACATGTACATACCATTTTCTTCCTCTTCCTGACTCTGAAACCCTCTGGTAACAACTATAATGATCTGTTTAGGCTTCGGCTCATTGTTCCCTTTCCTCACTCATATTTAGTAATTACTTTCTCTTCAAGGCTGCACTTTTCCTGAGGAAAGTAAATTTCCAGAGCGGTGTTCAGTTTTGAATTAAATCTTGCTCTTATGATGGCAAAGACACGTTAGGGGAGTGAATTCAACAGCTTGTAGCTTTCCCCATTTATTTCTGTCTCTACAAAGTGCCTTACAGAATATTCAAGTATATTTTTCTGTGTTGAGAAGGATTTTTCCTTAGAAATCTTTCTGACTAACTGCCTATGGATAACACCAGGGAGGATTTTAAACTGCCTGATATGTGTTATCCTTTTTGCTACTCAAACAGGAGGTGAGAAGGGAAAAGGAAAAGATTTCTGGCAGCAAGTGCTGAGTAATTGAAAACAGTCCATACTGCAGTGGCAGGACATTGATACTCGAAGACTAAATATGGATTGGGAATTGTTTTATCAGTGGCACTCTATAGAAGAATGTAAGATCTTTATAAAAACACGGTTGTTGTTGTTGTTTACGAATACTAGTTAATGTTCAAAGTGAACTTACATTAATATATTTTAGTGCCCTGCAGTATTCAGTAGAATTGGTGCAGTATCATCATCAAGAAATGTTCCATGAATAAGTGTAATCATGGAATGAGTCAAAGTAAGTGATTAAGAATCAAGTAGAAGTAGTGACCATAATTGCTTTGCTATTGTTTTTAAGTTTAAGGTCAGTGAGATACATGTTTAATACATGAGATAGTTATGATATTAACAACACTTTCAATATGATGTTTGTCATGTTCAAGTACTTGTGGTTTATTTTAATGTCAACCATTAGCCTATTAAAAATAATTCAGAGCTACTGTCAACACTTGGAGTCTCTAAGTATGTAAACAAAGAATGGGTAGAAGATTCAAATGGCTGCTTGATGGTCCACTCATTAAGCTGGTGGAAATTGTGGCATTGTAGATTGTGTACTATAAAGATGAGTATGTTTGTGTCTGTCAAGACATAATTGGGATAATTGTATTCTTTACGCTAAAACAAAGAGCTGTGACTCCAAACCAGAGGAAGGAAATTATTAAAAAAAAGGTTACAGAAAAATGATCCAGTATCAACTCCTCAACCTCAAACTCTCCATCTTAGATTTTCTCTCTTGAAACCCATCATAATATGCAATTGCTATTACTGATCTCAGCTATCTATTCTTTCAACAAATATTTTTGAGTGCCTGTTATGAGCAAGGCACTGGAGATATACAGTGAAACTAGATAAAAGCTTCATAAGATAAACAAGCTACAAATGAATTATACCAAAAAGAAGTGGAGAATGCTATGAGAATATAACAAGGCACTTAACATAATCAGGGGATCAGGGAGGACATCTCTCTGTAAATGATATTTAACTTGAGATCTGAAGAATGAGTAAGAATTAGGGAAGGGAAGTGGGGACACGGGGTTAGGTAGATTAGGCCATGAGAAAGTCTGTTGTCTCTTTGGACACCTTCTTCTAGACAAATATTTTCTCTCTGATCCCTTATTGAGCTGAACCTTCTGTTCAGCTACTGGGCTTTAGCTGATAGTTGTGTTTCTTGACATCAGTGCTGTCCTGTAACGTGTCCGACCCTCTGGAAATCTCTTTCCTCATCCCAAGCCCCAGAAACGTTACTAAAAAATTGTAAGTTGAAGAAGAGAAAAAGAGCATGTTGATGATCTTTAGGAAACAGAGAGCCACTTATGTTGGAATTCCAGGGAGTAGATCATGTTCTATCCTAGAAAAAAATGGTACGATAGATTAATTCGCTGATCATCAGTTTTATGAGTAAGCATCTAGTATACAAAAAATAGTGAAAAGATATAATCCAATAAGCCTTTTTTTTTTAATTTTAAGGTCTATTCAGAGCGATAACAAAAGCTCTGCTGTTATCTTTATACAGCAGCTTCAACTGGGACCTGTGTCTGTGTCATTTAATCCTATGTTGGGAGAAAGGATAAATACTGGCTTTGGTTCAATAGGAGTTTTTAAACAAGTCAATCTCTATTCTGTCTATCTGATGGCTCTATTTTTCTGTATGTTCTAATCAAAGACATAACTCACTTTCACTCAAAAAAAATGTTCCACCAGGTAAATCATGAGTGACACTCTGACTTGACTGTTCAATCCTGGTTCAATATAGACTCACTAACATGTCAGTTATTCAAGAAGCCCTGCTGATCGATTTGTTCCATGTATACATTATTCTGATTCACGGTGATTTTAAGCATCAGACTTTCAACTACAATTATATTTCATCTAAATCAACACCTCTAGCCTTCTCGATCATCCATATACCCTGAACATGCGCATTCCTTCTCATATGGGGAAATTTTATTTATGAAACATGTGACATGACATTAGTTTCAATAGGAAATAATTTCTATACCTGAATCAATATGATAAATAGTGTCCTTTTATGTGCACTATAGTCCATTACCTATAGAGAAGTGTTAACCTATTGTTTTTCTTTTATCACTTTGAGTTAGATAATTAAAATAAAACAAAATCTTATTTTATTATGATTGTATTTAACTTATGGCATCATGATAGGGCTGTAAGAAAGAGGAAAAATAGTATTGGTATATATTCAGTTTTCTTTAAAAATTCTAAAAAAGGAGGGTGGCTGGGTGACTCGGTTAAGTGTCTGACTTCCACCCAGGTTATGATCTCACGGTTTGTGAGTTCAAGCCCTGCGTGGGGCTCTGTGCTGACAGGTCAGAGCCTAGAGCCTGCTTCAGATTTTGTATCTCCCTCTCTCTCTCTCTCTCTCTGTATGTCTGACACTCTCTCTCAAAAATAAATGAACATTAAATTTAAAAAATAAAATCAAATAAAAATCTAAAAATGGAAACATTCAGCCATGGCCAAATGAATTACACTAAATGACAGTAATTTTTTTGGCCTGAATTTCTTTTTTTTATATCAGGAAATCCCAGTGGGTATACCAAATTCCCTGCACTGATGTACTTTGACAGCAGGATTTCTTGAATTGGATTGAAGTAGGAGTCTGAAAATATGCACTTATTATTTAAAATATGTAGTGTAGTGTGGGTTATTGTGTATCTGTTTGTTACTAATCCTTGCCACTGATTAGGTCTACTGAAAATTATGCCATAAAGTTTCCTACTAAGAATATGTTTTAATTAAAATTAGAATATGTTGATAGAAATAAATTAACGAGTAAAGGATATTTGACTTACAGGAGTGAACACCTGGAAGCTGGTGAAAATGTAAGTTGTTAAGCTTACAGAAATCAAACTAAAATCATTCAATTGTTTATCTGAAGGCATAATCGTATTAACTCAGTCTGTTATAATTTTAAAATTTAGGAACTATTCCTCTGTGTATTGTCAAAACAACCTAAATAACAAACACCACTATACAATTAAGTGTAAATGCTTTCTACGTATCGGTATTATTTTGTTTTGTTCTTACATGTGGGACAGAACATATGCCCAGAATAAAAGTGACTGTTCCTTTTTAATGATTTAGTTAAACAAATGTCTTTTATCATTTCATCAAGCCTATGGATTTTATATTTCCTTTACGTAGCTCAACAGTGCAAATATTGGGTTTGTAGATAAGAATTTAATTAGCATTTCAAAGAGGTCAAATTAATTCTCTCCCAGACAATAGCTGTTATTTCAGTCTACAAAGTAAAACTCAATTCTACAGCACAAAACAATTTTTAAATCTTTACCAGTTGTTTTGCTCATAGAAAATCACTGACTCTAAATGAATAGTTTTGAACTTTATTTTTTAAAACTATTTTTATCTTCTTTAAAAGGTTGTTATGAGAGATTTGGGAGTATCTGGGAAGCAGTTAGCACCATGCCTTCCATATAATAAATGGTAAGAAATAATAAAATACCACAATTCAAAAGAATCATTAATGTTTAGAGTATTATTGCCTGTGTGATTCCAAGATCACTGCAGAAAATCAGTGGCATTGCAAGAGGTTAGGACCCTTGGAATATTCTGCCCCAAGTGCCTTCCATGTTGTGTTCTTTGTCGGAAGTGAATCTTAAACAGCAATAAACTGACCAAAAGTTAGTCAACTTTTAACTATAATATGTACTGACAATTCCAAACAATCTCAGTGATAAAATGCTCCCCTCTGCCAGAGTCAACCACTCACACAGCCCTACCATCCTTTGGCATGCAACTGCAGAGAACAATAAAAGGAAGGCAAATGCTTTTTGAATTCTTGAATGATAAAACTCTAGTTTTAAGTTCCCAAACTAAACATCAAATGCATTTAAAAATCAATGCTTTGTGGCATTTATCAGGTAAATTATTTACTGGACCTATTTGAACTCTACATGACCTCCATCATAATGCTATTTATAAGTTAGAGTTAATACCACAGCATTCGTTGGATTCTTGCTGGGTGTTCTTTTTCAAAATAACCCTTCTAATTACCTTTTTAAAATTTTTTTAATGTTTATTTAATTTTGGTGGGGTGGGGGAGAGGCAGAGAGAAAGTGAGACACAGAATCTGAAGCAGTCTCCAGGTTCCAAACTGTCAGCACATAGGCTGAGATGGGGCTTGAACTCACTAACTGTGAGATTATGACCTGAGCCAAAGTCGGAGGCTTAACCGACTGAGCCACCCAGGCACCCCAACCCCTCTAATTATATATTTAATATCTGTCTTTCTCATTAAACTGTAAGATCCATAAGGGCAAAGATAAGGTCTACGATGTTCAATAAGATTTTGGTTCCTGGAACATGGTGCATATTCAATAATTGTTTAAAATGTCAGAATTTTTTTAATGTCACTAATTACTAGTGAAGGTTAAGGAATTATTTTTATATAGTCCTACATAGTCTTAAACTATTGTTTTCTTCATATAATGGTGAGAGAACTTCTGAGCCCCAGTTTTAGTTCATGTGTTATTGACACGAGGAATACAAAATAGGGATTGACAATACCAGCAACAGGGGATGTGGATGGAGGGATGGGCTAAATGGGTAATGGGCATGAAAGAGTGCATTTGTTGTCATGAGCACTGGGTGTAAATAATGAATCACTAAACTCGGGCATCTATACAGAAAAGAAAATTAACACCATGTTCTACAGATTGGGAATAATATATTTTCAATTAAACACATTTGGATATGGAAATGGTGGGATAATAGCTTAATATTTATGAACAACTATAGATAATAACGTCTAGTTCAGATACAGACTTGAGCCAAAGGAACAACAGTGACTTTCCCTGGCAGATATATTAGTTGGAACAAAACTAAACTGCTATAACAAATAGACTCCAAATTATAGTGGTTTAATAACTGTAAACATACCTCCTTCTATG